TTTTAAACGAAATCTATGAATATCGGTCGGTGCTCTTGTCGTGACGTCATTTCATCTTTCATATTTCATTGTTCAAAGCAGACTATAAGACTATAAGCAAAAGTCCCTTTGTTTTCAATGTATGAATATGACTCAGTGTCAATCAAATGAAACAGAAGTTGCAACCAGAATTCCAGACCCGGTTGACACTGAAATACACCTAGTATCATCACTATTAGAAAGTGATTAATAAACACATGCTTATGATAAAATTTGGGAATCGTACTATGGAATCTGATTTATAACAGAGATGTTTATGATTATGGGACCGATTGTACCGTTTTACTCAAATGTGTAAGGAATTGGCATTGTCAACGGGTCGTTTACTATCGATTCCTGACAGTCTTGCACGATAATGACAGACACTCGAATGCTATGATTTTGTGAGCTGGGATAAGGATTGTTTTGGACACCATCGGATCGCATTTTCATTGAGATTGTGGAGTGTAATGAGTGTAAGCGTTATGAAACATAGCAGTTAAAGAAAATAACAACCACCTACACTGCACCATTAACTAAACATACACACCAAATCATGAGCTGGGATAAGGGTTGCTTTGAACACCATCGGATCGCATTTTCATTGAGATAGTGGAGTGTAATGAGTGTGAGCGTTATGAAACATAGCAGTTAAAGAAAATAACACCCACCTACACTGCACCATTAACTAAAATGCTGAGCTGGGATAAGGGTTGCTTTGAACACCATCGGATCGCATTTTCATTGCGATTGTGGAGTGTAATGAGTGTAAGCGTTATGAAACATAGCAGTTAAAGACAACAACGACCGCCACCACCACTGAACCACCAACAGAAAATACCTACCAATTCTGGTGCAAAAACAAAGTTTGCCAAAGGTCAACTCAACGCAGAAGAAAACTTGTGCTGTCTGGTTTTGAACTAAAGTCAGAAAGAAATCTGAAAAGTCTATTCCTATTCAGGGATCTCGTGGTAGCCGAATCGTTCAAATCGTTCGATGCCCCATGGGTCCAGTGTGTGAAGTCCCTATCTGGAATCCCCGCCGTGGTATTGCTGAACTACTGCGGCATAAAATCCAAACCTGTGTGAACCCAGCATCACTTGAGCGCTGATATCATTATATGAAAACGGGATCTCGGATGTCTGCACCATTAACACGGCACAGGCTCCAGTGCTGCTGTTGATACCATCTTGGATACCTGATCACCTTGTTTATTACACTACCAACCTTGTCCGCATGTTCGCTTGACAATAGATTACTGACAGTCCGATCCCGTGTCCGATTCAACTATAAACTCGATTGCTATGCTCGTCGAGAGAGTGTTTGATGTTTCCCACGACGGATTCATAACGATTTTCTCATTAGAACCTGATACACATTCACAAGGACAGCCATAATGGCTGTTGTTGGGCGTCTCTTGTTTTACGTTTGAACTTTACGTGTTGGTCATCACGCCAGAAGTTTCATGTCTTCATGACAACTGTAATGTCAGGTACATTCGCTCATGTCTTAATTCGATTCTAAACACAAAATTAACATTTAACGAAAGGATAACGCGGATCGACCGCTGTATCAGATATCCCCAAGGGATGAAGCGGGGAATTGATTGATAGTTTGTCGGACCATCCAAGGAAACCTTTTAGGTGGATGTATTCCCTTGATCATGACGTTAGTTGACATTAGGAGGGGTTAGGATGTACAACTGGATCACGGCACTGGGGAAAACGTCAATGATAATCACTAATGAAAAAGAAAGTTCAGATTTGAATTTGGGTTTGCTGCAACACGGACATATTTCTTGAACCCATTTACAAGCCTACTTCAAGCAACAGAACCTCTACATTTCTACAAAACAGATAAAATTTAGACATAACACAAACTTGCTTTTAGCTTCACAAAGTCAAAATGTGTAATGGCGCTCTGGTGTCATCGGATCTCCTGTGCACGGGTGGCCCAGTCATTAAAACGCCGTAGTTCGCTGAGGAGAGTTGCGGGAAACTTATGATCGCGGGTTCGAATCCCGACCATGTTTCTAGATCTGTCAGCATATCACCAGTACACTTAGATTTCACCATGACCGAAATGGTAAACATCTAAGATCTGCATCTCTTCGGGATCTGCTCCAATATCAAGCTGGCACGCCATGATCTGGAATACTGTTCGGGGCGGCCTTAAACCCTAGTCACTCCGACGCTGACTTAGCTATCTGGACACGGCTCGTCACACCGTTTAACGATTTTCCAAAGAAAGTGTCACAAGTAATCTATAACGTATTGATGTAGTAATATAACTGCATGCCTAAAGACTATTTCGGTTTTCATTTTCTCTAGAACGATTGAAATACATATTTGTGTTCTAAAATAAGAACAGTATGCTCCTGTATCATTCAATGATATTTTCAAAGTGAACTTGTATTTCCACAGCCGCTGGGCATGTATTCAGATGATGATCAAAGACTCTACAGTTCTTCTTATCGTCTCTTGCATGTTTGTTGTATATTATGTAAATAGGAAATATCGAAAAATCTCATAACATTGGCGAACATAAACGACACTGTTTATATGGACTTGGTCAGCTTTTTGTCTTTTAGAATGAAGACGTCAGTCAGCTTATTGAGACACACCTTCTGAAAATCAGTAATGTAACTAAGTAGATTGTAACGTGATATTGAAGAAAGACTTGACCTTCCTTGGAGATTAAGATCAAGTGTTCTCGCTATTTGTAGCTAGACGTGTCTTATAAAGGTGTCTCGTCCTATTCAGATTATCTCCATACCCAGACTGGCGTCGACTGGTTTACGTCATCAACAGATCGGGCGAATTCAATGAAACAGAATCGTGATAATCGATATTCCGTGAAAGAAAAGTCCACATCGACTTTGGCGCTTAAGCAATTCCAATAAACCAGTAAAACCAAGTGCTCGGGCTGACTAAGAAACCTGATGTTCCAAATTCAACCAGGAAAATTAATCAATGTTAAAATACCCTGCTCATTTTCTAAACTGTTGGTCCACCCTGGTGGATGTATATAAGAACAGGATGGTGGGGTAGCCTTGTGGTTATAGCGTTCGTTCGTCACGAGTTCGATTCCCGTTATGGATACAATGTGTGAAGCCCGTTGCTGGTGCCTCCGCCGTGATATTTCTACCGTAAAACTAATCTCGCTCACTCAATCACTATATATGAAGGGTGTCTTGGTCTTAACATACTATTTCAATGAACACAGTAAAAACCATTTCTTTTTTCAGGTAAATGTATATAATGTTGATCTTGTTGAAATAACAAATACGTGACTTTAGGTTTAATCGCCAAGTTGCGCAGGTTGAGTGTGCATTGAGGTCATCGTGTTTTTTTGTAGCGAATGGCATTAAAACAGTAATTTTCAACTTATGTAGAATAGAATGATGATGGAGCAGTGTTATTCGCTGTTAAACAATGTAATGTGCTAGTTACTATATTTAAACTGGGAGTCAAGACTGGTTTGGAAGCTTCTAGAGCAGCCTGAGTTTGGCGTAGTCTATCGTCTCTATCTATATAAAAGGCACATTTCTACTTCTGGCATCTCACATTTCACTATTGGAAGTAGGTGAATCCATCGTCACTGTCCTAGTTGATATACAGTGGAAACCTGATAAATAGTTACAACTGTTATATCATAGCGTTTGAACTGTCCTTGTCATTCGTTTGCATGAATTTGTGTTAACTTGTACAGTGTTAGCTTTTTTTTGTTTGTTTGTTGGCTTCACGTCGAAAGCTCTTACGTACATATTTCTGGGTTATCTTCATGTTTCAGTTTGCAAATTTCAGAATAAGAGTTTAGTGTGTTGCAGTTTGTGCTTCAAATATATCGGATCTTAATATATCTTGAGAAGTAAACAAGAAGAGACAGTACCACAGTGCAACGCATTCAGATACTCCTCAATATCTCCAAGTGCTTTAATGTGTTTCAAGCAAAAGGTGAAGGCTAGTACCCGGTCGTCATCGGATTAAGTGCTTTTCGATAATGAATAATCCTTATTTCCTTACTTCACGCCCTTACTGGGTTCTCGTTAGCCCTAGTCGTCTACGTCAACGTCAAGTGTTCATCTTCACGATGTAATGCATCATTGAGACCACTGAGGAGGCAGTCTACAATGTAGACACGGCACCGGGAATATCTGGCAATATGTTCCCCGGCTCCATATGTGTGATATCGGTTAGTCTGATTCCAGATCCACGTCCCTTGATATCGCCGACCTATTGAACGTATTTCAACCGATCAGCGTTAAGAGATCGGATAGGGGGCGAACGTGCCGTCCCTTAATATTATATGAATCTTGGCAAATATTGCCAACTGACAATGTTATCATTGTGTATAGCCACTATTCCGATTTCCTTGCACCTTAATATAAACGAACCATGATGATTCAACGTTGTTGAAAACGTCACGTTTTAACAATAACGCTGACTCGACTTGAATCTGTTTTCTCATTACTCACACGTCCAGCCCAGAGACAGGGATCTGGAGTGCCTGTTATGCCAAAATCACTTGCGATTTAGTTTTCGTGTGTTGCTTGAATGAATGAGTTAAATATACAACGCCGGTTTCAACAGTATTACATGTAGAACACGGTTTGTCAGCTTGATGTGGGAGAAAAGCTAACTTAAACTTTCGGGTGACGTCAACGAACACGGATATAGCGCTGAGAATCCAAAGGCTGAACCCTCATCAAGCGGATCCTGTCACGACGAAGGGACACAACCCTGCTCATGCCTCACATACGGCGGGAATAGCGAATTATTAATAGGAAAATGTATCAACTAATCCTTGAAAATCAGTGCTGACACCAGTTTGAATTTGCGAATTCTACACATACTCTGATACCATACGTTAACTAAGGATATGTGTACGTCAGGTATGTCAGGGACGTCAGGGGTCATTCACATTGTACATACATTATGAACGGTTGACGTTTACCATGGAAAGATAGAAACACACTATGGTATTGCTAAGCACTTTATTACATGAAACATAAACCATCATATCACAGATACAAGAAACGAGACGTGATTGAGATCAAGGCTGGGTGCTTCAAAGAAAATATAGTCCTTATTTCATCATGTTATGCAACAAGCCTGCAAAATACAAATTAGAGGTATCTTGTGTTTTGGAGCATAAAAAGCTAATATTTTTCTCAGTCAACCTTTGGAGGAGTGTATACTAGAATGAAAATATATTTAGAACACATGATTTCCCGAAGACACATGTATTCTTTTAAGTCTGACACATATGAACGACATTGACATTCTTTGAGAATAGAGTTACGATAATGATAACGTAATTGTATGAAAAGATAGACATATATGAACCTTTGAACGCTGGACACACATAATTAAGCATGACATTACGTATACATTCTCAGTGTGCAGGACATTTGGGTACTGCTACAGTGATGTCTTTGGTAGCGCCATGTTGACTGTGGGCTAGTCTTGTGGTTAAAGCGTTCGCTCGTCACGCCCAAGACCTGGGATTGATTCCCCACGTGGGTGAAATGTGTGAAGCCCCATTTTTTGTGTTCCCCACCGATATATTGCTGGAATATTGCTAACAGCGGCGTAAAACAATACTCACTCCCCATTCGGAATTAAGCTATAACTGATACTGCGTTTAGTTTGAGTTGAGTATTGATGTATAAAATTTCACCAATAACCGTTTTAAAGTGGTTTTGTATTTGATATGTACGTAAAACAACGAAGGCTGACAATACTGATTTCTGCTACAATGCGTCATGGTTTACTTACCAGAATAATATCCCTTAAGAATAAGATATTTTGAATTCTATTGCTCTTCGAGGTCGTTTTTAACAAGCACCAAACAAAACTGAAAGAGCATGGAACATGATAACGAAACAAACATAGACCTACGTTCATACATTTAATCACACACCCACTTTCAGTTTCAGGTCAATTGACTTCAACTCTATATTGTCCTCCAATAATGTCATTGAGAACGTGTCCATTTCACATTTGTCCGGAATGGTAGCGATCGTGTCTCCGATCCAGATATGGGCACTGGTATTATACGGAATAGGGTCAAGAATCAGGTGTAAGACTTTGTACGTCTTGCTGTTTCTCTGAAATGAAGAAAATAAATGATTAATAATGCGAATGTGATGCTTTCACGATTCAAACCATTCTTATATTGCCATGTTGGTTGATTGGTTTGTTGTTTACAGCCGCACTCAGCAATATTCCAGCTGTATGGCGGAGGTCTGTAAATAATCGAGTCTGGACCAGACAATCCAGTGATCAACAGTATGAACATCGATCTATGCAACTGGGACACGATGACATGTGTCAACCAAGTCAGCGAGACTGACCAACCGATCCCGTTAGTCGCCTCTTACGACAAGCATGGGTTACTGAAGACCAATTCAAACCTGGATCTACAAGTGTCTATTTTGCCATGTATATTCTGCCTTAAAGAAAACATGTTAAAGGGCGAATTAAGTATTACAAGGTGAACGCTGACATATCACACTACAATGGTCGGTTTAGAACTGTTCATGCCCGGTTGTTCTTTTCAAACTACAAACGATACTCTTATAAACGATGTGTGATAATATCATGTGTGATATTGTACCCTAACCGTCAACCATCATCAAAGCGTTGTGTCATGTGTGCTATTTTGAAAACGTCGGTACGGGTTTCCAATTGATCCAGGCAGAAATCAGGTCTTATGTGTCACTGGGATTCTGTCGGTTGTTGTCAGTAACGGCTAGGGACCGTTCATAATTTATGGCTAGGGGTTGGATGGGTGGTGTGGGGGTAGGGTGATGATGATTTTAAGGGGGTGTCACCCATTTACCCATGTTCAGGGGAAGTAGTTGTTGGGGTCATCAATTTTGTACACATGTACTAGGGGCGTCATTGATGTACATGCAGTGGGATCACTAATTTGTACATAAATTTCAGGGGTGGGGGTTGGATCATTCACATTGTACATGAATCTCCATAAAAATCATTATCAACTCCATCCCAACCCCCCAAGCCATAAATTATGAACGATCACTTACAGTGTTATGCTATGCTTTCAGTTAATTTAGCGAACATTTCAGGCCCCATAGCATTACATTGGTCTAGTTGGGGGCATAACATAAGTAAGGCACTGACATGTTCCCTGCTTTAACTTTCCAGTAAATATTTGCCATTTAGACTCGTAGTTTGCATGTCGTAAATTGGCCTGTCGTAAATTTACTAATAGTTTAGTTGTGAAAACTACCTATCTTTCAAAGAACGGCTGGTTCAAGTAGTGTATTACACTAATTCAATAAGTGATATTTAGTAATCCTCGTAGTAAGCTTAACACTAAGGCGGATGTGAACAATGCCATGTGGTCTGAAATATACTGAGGGAAACACATAAGGGATCACATGAAATCACAAGTGTTCCTTTAATTTCCCCCCCCAGGTATCTTCAAAAGCTTAGTATCGCACAATTTGTAAAGAAACTTGGAAAAAAAATAAAGGAACACTTGTGCTCGCTTGTGATCCCTTATTTTCTTCTCTCAGTATATCACAAACGACACCCCTTCTCTCTGGAATCTCACTGGCATAAACCAGGCAGGGTAATAAATTGCTGTTGACTAACGTTCGGGATACTGTTACTTATTGGATTTGTAGAATTCACTAATGTTTTCATAGTATACTCACTTATTTTTTGGCGATTTGACAGGCGTGACATCGGAGTGAAGAGCTTTTTTCACTGATCAGGTCATTGGGCACACTGGGGGTAAGACTGAATATACCGGAAGAAGAACATTCCTCAGGCTCGAACACGTCTGAATCACTATCAGAATTCAAATTTGCGTTATTGGCACTGGCGGTTGAGACCAAGACGTCATCGGATTCAATGTTTGAGGAAGCAGCGACAGGTGGTACAACGCGGAATATGTCGACGTAGATGCCGTCCGGGCTATCCGAGTGATGCCTTTGGCTATTTGAGGAACTGTCATAAGCACCGTTGAATTCTGGAATGCCTACAGCAGCAGTTTTGGATCTTGTAACATCAGGAAGAAGATCACTATTGTTTGAGGATGTTGTTCTCATAACATCCGGAAGTGCAGAGGCGCCATGTTGGAATTCTTGCGCGTTCGATCGAACTCTGGCTTCATCACAGCTTTGTCTTGCGGCAGGGTCACTGGGTTCTGTATTCCCGACAAAATAGTTCCTGTGACAAAGCTGTCGTCTCACGTGCACGTATTGGTTGCATCGGCACTCCGGTGCATCTTTTGAAGATGTTGATTTTGAACAAATAAACTTTTTGGCTGTATCACGAATCTTTTTAAGGAAAGCCTTCCTCAATAGAATATAGAGCCATGGATCCAATGTCTGATTGAGGCTTGCCAGACGAACTGCTATTAATCCAAACACTGGATTGGATTTTTTGGTTGCCAGCGTTATAACGATATGAATCTGGAAAAGAAATTGAAGGGATAAACTTTATTGTGCTGTAACATTAAACGGTATAAGTAAAAGCGAAAATAACTTTCCACACCCATAAGAAATTTCTGCTAAAAGCTGAACGATTGTACAACTCCGACTATATCATGAGCATGTGTCTGTGAATCTGCATTTATTTGCACCGGAGTTTGTGTTACTAACCAGCTGTACACAAATCGTCTGGAAGTTCGACGACCACGTGTAAATGGGTAAGGGTATGGCCCATTATTGATCAAGTCATCTCAAGCGTCCATTTCTTTAACGACACACTCTTTGGAGGCGGTGGGATAGCTTAGTAGTTAATCATATAAAAAGCGTTCGCTCGTCACGGCGAAGTCCCAGGTTCGATTCCACACATGGGTATAACGTGTACTGTCACCCGATTCACCCACCCATTCACTCACTCACTCAGTATCCACCTGCTTGCTTGCACACACGCAATCAACCGTCAACATGGTTTTCTGTTTGTCATGTTACACATAGTCATTACTTGTGAAAATCCGGGTTAGAATTGGTCTTCAGCAACCCATGTTTGTCGTAAGAGGCGACTAACGGTATCGGGTGGTTACGCTCGCTGACTTGGTTGACACATGTCATCGTATTCCATTTGCGTAGATCGATGTTCATGCTGTTGATAACTGTCTTGTCTGGTCCAGACTCGATTATCTACAGACCGCCGCCATATAGCTGGAATATTGCTGAGTCCGGCGTTAAACAACAAACCAACTAACAGCTAGTCATTCCGTTTATTAATCATCCATTACCATCGCTCGACTTTATATTTATGTGATCAAGTACTACTATTTTGAAAATAGATTTTGGACGGTATATTGATAAGATTTAAACCAAATACACATGCAAAGATTCCTCTTCCTCCTCACTTCACAAACATATACGACAACCGGTTCATATCTTCTGACATAAATGTTCTATCTATAAACTATAATAGCTTCATCTGTCATATATTATAATGAATGTGTGTTTCGTTATCGTGAATTTCAATTTGTTTATGCATCTCTGCCAGAGACTACACTTAGGTGTATCCTTTGCTGTGGAAGGTACAGATTTGAAATGGACCGGATGGCAACAGGATTGCTTTGTGGATGAGGCCACACGCAGTTAGATGTGTTGTGTGTGAATTGTGTATATGTGTTTTACAGAGTGTGGTAAAATAAGCGTTAAGAACTAACCTCCCAAAATTGCGCTTTGTTCAGTATTAAAAACCTTGTTGGGACTTTAAATGTCACATGTTATTACTTTACCCTTTTGCGTATGTTTTGTTCTGGATATGTTTAATGATATTATTTCCTGTAAGCATGTTTGGATAAAGACATGTCTATTACTTCAACGTGTTTATACAAGTAGGCAGCTGTGTGTTAGATAACGTTAGCACTTCGTGACATACGGTATGGGCTTCAGAACCTGGAGCTTAGCTTATCTGAACGAAGATGCTGAGATGTAAGCTAGTGAGTGAATTCGTATTAATGTCAGTTTTCAGCAACAGTCAAACCATATCACGACGGTGAAATAAAAGAGAATATGTTACAGCATAATTTCTTGTCAGATATATACCTTATCAAGTGCAAAATACCTGCCAATGATGCTATAGTCTGATCTGGTCACAATAGTGCTGATAGAAAAAGATAGTAGCTCCGGCCTAAAGTTTTTTTCGCTCTATAAATAAAAAAGTAAATTTATTACTAAATACGAATGAATATCATGGTGAGAATCGAAGCCAGCACTTATCTACAACTATAGCCTTTGCTAAGGTAGCCTTCAACGCTCATACACCTTAAAACCGAAACTTTTTATTATTATAAAGGAACTGTGATATTTCTGCAAGATGACCTTGAAAACATTTTATGATGTTCTCTACATAAGAGTCAGCAGTTCGTCGAACGTTAATAGATATGTTTTAGTACACGACAGACACAACACTGTCAAAACACCAAGGGACTGTCTGGAATATTAGGAATTCTGCCCAGGAAGTTCCACAATATTGCAGTACATTACAATGGTGCCCGCACGTCTCGAGACAATTGTACCTATTACCTGCCTCTTAATCTCATTGTTATGGTTCTCCCCTCCCGATTCACAGCACGGAGTCAACAGAACCACACGAATATAAGTGTAGTTAACGGCCATTCGATCGTAGTGTATTACCGGGTACCTGATTAAGTTATTTTGCAAACAAAGATATCACACAGTGCTCACGGTCATACGTACTGGTGCTGTTGTGTTTGTCGTTAACTAGTTCTTTAAGACTGTTGTTGATGGTGTAAAGTCCAGGAAACCAACCGTTTGACTACTCGGGTATCCTTACTGCTTGGAAGAGTGAGTGAGTGAGTGAGTTTAGTTTACCGCCGCACTCAGCAATATTCCAGCTACATGGCGGCTGTCTATAAATAATCGAGTCTGGACCAGACAATCCAGTGATCAACAGCATGAGCATCGATCTACGCAATTGGGATACGATGACATGTGTCAACCAAGTCAGCGAGCCTGACCACCCGATGCCGTTAGTCGCCTCTTTCGACAAGCATGGGTTACTGGAGATCAATTTTAACCCGGATCTTCACGGGCCACTGCTTGTAAGAGATTCATAACACATGATTATGTTACAGTTATAATTGTACAATGGATATGGCAGAGACTTCCTAAGGATTTCAGGAGATTTCTAATCACCATGGAACTGTGTTTTCAACAAAAACATGCACTATCGGATCACTAAATTTTCTGGTCCACCACTTGCTCGACTGGTCAAGTTATTAACAGGTGATATGCCATGATAACCAGTTGCTCGCTTCAGCAATATGAGTAGCTCAACGAACTGAGTGAGTGAGTGCGTGTGAGTGAGTTTAGTTTTACGCCGCACTCAGCAATATCCCCGCTAAATGGCGGCAGTCTGTAAATAATCGAGTCTGGACCAGACAATCCAGTGACCAACAGCATGAGCATCGATCTGCGCAATTGTGAACCGATGACATGTGTCAACAAAGTCAGCGAGCCTGACCACCCGATCCCGTTAGTCGCCTCGTACGACAAGCATGGGTTACTGAAGATCAATATTCTTACCCGGACCTTCACGGGTAAATGAGTGAGTGAGTGACTTGAGTTTAGCGCCGTTTGACCTGCATGCCAGTTACACCACTACTTGACAGTTTTATGATATATGGCAGCCCGATGCAGGTCTCACAAGTTTACCACTTTGGTGAAACCTAGCATTTCGTGTAAACCTAGAAAAATAATCGTGGCTAACCCGGATTCGAACAACAATCATAGGTTTCTGCCGTACACAAGGGCGACAATTCTGCACCGGAAGTTGCAGCGCCGACTGGGTCGCTCATGCACCCGGAGATAAAATGACACGAGCTCTTTGCCTGATAGAAAAGTGCGCAGGCCACTAATAGGATTTAATTTTGGCTACTGCGGCTGTGAACATCAAGAATGAGTTTTAAGAAGTTAGATGATCAGTGTGACGAACCGACGCTGTACCCACTGCACTAACTTGTTGTGCATTATTTACATGACAGATCAGACAAAGAAATGACTCATTATCTTTAACATAGAATACAGTCCAAAGAAGAATTTTCACTTTGAAGTTCATGAAAACATGACAATTTCACGCATAATTTAACGTGTAAGATATAGCGGCTTTTAAATCATATAAACCCCCTATTATAGCATTTTCTAGGTTATCAAACATCATTCAAATAGAAGACATTTTACAAATGGACCATAATATGTCCAAAAAATGAGCTCAATCCAAAAAAGGCGTTTTAATTGTTTTGCACATAATAATCATTTCGCTTACAAGTTTTTAAAAACGATGATGTTCAAGGACATCGCCTAGCTTCACAACACATGATCAAGACGTATGATTGTTCCTGCTGAGATACGGACTTGGATGTCACGGGTGAGTGATAAAAAGTCTCTTATTCGAAATTCAAAGGGAATATTCTGTTTATTGTCTATTACAAGATCGTAAAATATCGTGAGGATGTGATGTTTTCTGCAAGGTTTATCAACACGAGGTTCTGTTCGTTTGTCATATAACGCCGCACTTAGTAATATTTCAACTATGTGGCGGATGGAAATAATCGGGGGCGGTGGAGTAGCTTAATGGTTTAAGCGTCCGCTCGTCACGTGAAGACCCGGATTCGATTCCCCACACGGATACAATGTGTGAAGCCCATTTATGGTGTCCCCCGCCGTGATATTGCTGGAATATTGCTAAAAGCGACGTAAAACCATACTCATTCACTCACTGTAAATAATCGAATCTGGACTAGACAATCAAGTGATCAACAGCATGAGCATCGATCTACGCAATTGGGATCAACACGATGTCTCGGTGAGATAAGGTGAAAGAGTCTTTTATCGTCGCGTTGAAGAATTTTGCACTTACGTTGCGATGTGCATAGCCGCGTGTGTGCGAGTGCGTGTGTGCGTGTGCGAGTGCGTGTGCGTTATACAGGACTCAGATATAGTATACTGTACTGACTTCCGAACCTATTTAATGCCGAGAGCAGCACAATTAAGGTAACAAGAATCATTCTTGAAAGAGTTTGGTATGACATAGCTGATTATCAAACCACCGACACTCCGCCATCGGGGCGGACATTCTACCCACACTCCCCACGCACTACAAAGGCGGCCCATATAACGTTCCGTGACAAACATGGGCTTAACTCATCGTGTCCATTTGGGGAATCGAAAAAAGGTACTTGGCGTGACGAGATCAAAGCACAAAATTGACTTACAGTATACTAATGGCGCACTGAATTTAAAGGCGCTATCGTGAACTATCGACAAGAAGTACAACTCACAATGTATATATCCTGGAGGAAACATAGAGCTTCACCTCATAAACGATTACATTGCAGTGTCGTAAGAGACGACTAACGGGACTGGATGATCAGGCTCGCTGACTTGGTTGATACATGCCATCGTGTCCCTGTTGCGTAAATCTCAGATATTGTTGAACTGAACAGATTCGACATTAGAGTGAGTGAATATGGTTTTACTCCGCTTTTAGCAATATTCCATCAATATCGCGGCAGCGGAAATCAGAAATGGGCTTTACATATTCTTGTACCCATGTTGGGAATCAAACCCGGGTCTTCGGCGTGACGAGCGAACGCTTTAATCACTAGGCTACACCACTGCCCCCTGCGATATTAGATGATATTTAGGCTGTATAAATATATTCTTACAATAGGCATTCATTCCACACGAAGACCTTTCATTTGAATGAAATAAACTGACGGGCAAAAGAAACGATACCAAGTCGAAATCGCTATGTGCATGTTGCCCAAACACCTGTTATTACAATTCACTTTCCTTTTTCACAATGGTGGTTTGTCGTTTTGTTATATCAGTGATTTCGCGACTTGGTATCGTTTCTTTTGCCCGTTAGTTTAGATTAAGCTTCTACTCACCATAAGAGGTGCCCAGCAAACAGCGAAAATGGTGGTAATGGCGCACATGAGCCAAATCATTTGCATCTCCACATCGTTCTGCTTATTCCGCTTCATCTGAGTCTGCATCCGCCGACTGTCGTCGAAGCTGTCGTGCAAGAGGCTACTGGAGATGCTGTTCCGGCCTTGTTGTTGCTTGATGTAACGGACTCGCAGCAAGGTGATCATGACGAAGACGTTACAGCACGTCATCAGGACGACGATGCCAAGGTTGACGCCAGCGTAGAGGTAACCGTAGAGAGCGAAGACGAGGTCGTCGGTGCGGAAGTTCAAGAAGCACCACGTGTGCGGGTACTGAAGAGTGTACTCCCCGAAGCCGAACAACGGTAGTGCACCAAAGAAGAAAACAAATGCCCACAACACCACCACGGTAATTCTTGCATTATGAGGCGTACAATGCTTGGAATAGAAGTAAGTACACTTGATGGCAAGAAAGCGTTCCACTGCCATGGCACAAACGATTAAAGGCGTTGCCAGTCCAAAACAGACCATTATAAAGGCGTTGAATTTACAGAGGCCTATTCCACCTGGCATTTCTCGTCGGTTTATATAGGCAGCAACGGTAACAGGAGTTGTCAATAGGATTCCAGCCAAATCAGTGCAAGCCAGAGCTGCCACTAATGTATAAAACATCATTCTTCTTATCTCAGTCTTTGTCTTCTGAAGGACCACCAGGGCCAAGACATTGCCCACGACACCAGCAAGCGACATAATAATCGGGGACATGATTGTAGCCCCGATGGCGTATTTGCCGTCACTGGTGTCATTGGACGTAGTGTTGTTGTTCCCATCCGGAGACAACGTACTGAACGGGAACTCCGTAGTATTCATTGTGTATCGTGTCAGGTCTGGCTGCTGGATGCTCTCAATGGATGAGCTGTGATCATCTGAGGCTGATATTCGACTGAGGTCGGTCTACTGCATCTGAAATCAAACAGCCAGGATTAATAGCCTGTCGCTAATACAAAATGGATAGCCAGTGGTTTGACGTGTAAATCGAGACAGGTCAGTTCACGTGTCGGCGAATAGCTGCAACTGTTAAAGTGCTCAGGCTATTATTTATCTGACAGGAAATACCTGGATTCAGGAAAAATGTTATCAATATGAAATCAGTGTCGTGAAATGTTTTGAGTATGAAGCAAGCTGTGATATTGCTCTTGGCGTTTGCGTCTCTATTCTCTTGGGAAATAAATGAAACCTTGAACCAGGGTTTCAGACATGATTATGGGATATTAGCCTTCTCTGACCAGAATTTATTAAATAGATTTTCCGTTGACATGAAAACACATATTGACGTATAGCGAAATGGAAAAGTGTGATTGTATTTCACTTCTTTTGAAAAGCTTTTATCAATGAGGAAAGTGGTGTATGTTCAGTTGTTTAGAAATGTATTCTCCAAACAGACGTAGCCTGGTATATATGTTTCAAAGGGGAAGTATTTTAACATGCATCACAGGTCATAGCTGATTTCCGGGGAACAAACAGAAAAAACTCACAAGCCAGGTGAGGTGTGCGTGTGTGCGTGCGTGCGTGCATCTTCGTTGTTTGTTCGCAAACGCTTATACTAGTCTGGACTTACGCCGAAACACAGCCAACGGATCCGGAAAACAACTATGACGCTCAACTACATCACCATTTCTTTGACTAATAAGTTTTGATCATATCTCAGCTGCCATGGGTGTATTGTTTCTTTTGCCCGGTAGTTAATCGGAATCATGTTAGATATTTTGCTAACCTTGTGTATTCTACATCAAGTTTTTGAGACACTAAGAACAGGCCATTATACAAAGTTTGCAATAAAATATTATAACTATTTTTAGCTTGATAATTGACGTATACGACTGCGTCAATGATGCCATTTAATCGCCTCGTACAAAACAATGTACAACCGAGCACATTTGTAAAGATAATTAAACAGAACATTAACATCACTACTGAGAGAAATAATGGCACGGAACGGATAATAAACACAAGTGTCATGTTACATCATGATCAGACATTGTATACCGAGCTAATTAAACAATACAATCACGTATATGTAGAGATCTACGTCAAGAATAGATGGACGGATATTAGCTTGAGAACAAAAGATAACAATGAAATTTCAGATATCCTTTCTGGTTACGCGGAGTTTATGAAATTGCATGACAAACAGCTTTGTGTTTCACCTGGAGGGTCATGAATTATTCATGAAGACGTCACAACGGAAGCTTGGAGAGTGAATGAAAGCTGACAGTTCGTGACAGCAGTTTACCCAATGTATACCAGGTGCAACATGGAGGGATAAAGGATCTGTTGAAATACATGGCCGATATCGTTTCTAAAAGGGTTTTGCTGTCTGGGATCATGTTTGTAGAATACCGAAGTACAAATATTTAGGGACGTGACTGAAGCGGCATCGTAACAAAAAAAGCAATGTTTGAATTTCTGATTTGTTGAAAAAACTAGTGCCCATTGCTTCCAAAGACTATGATCAAAACTACTCAAAAATGAATAAATAAGACATAGCGGTATACACAAATGAACGGAATAATAAACAACAACAACAACAACCCCCCCCCCCCCCAACAGAAACGAAAAAACAACAACAAACAAACCCCAAACAAAACAAAACAATCCCCCCTCAAAAACAAACAAAACAAAAACAAAACAAAGAAACCTAGCAAAACCCCACCAAACCTGTTAATTAAACAAATCTACTCTAAAAAAACCCCAGGTCAATGGTGAAATACTTCTATGTTTGATCACCCATGGGAAACACCCCATTGTGATGATAGTGGATCTGCCCGCAAAACAACTCACGGACACAAATAAACAGGTTGCAGAGGTTTAAGGATATAGAGAGGCAAAAGTCATTAAATGAATATAAATCACTGTGTTTTGCCTTCTGTTGGTATACATAATTACACACATACATCAAGTGTGGTTTAGCTTCAGGATACACGTGCTATATTGTGTTGTATCCGGGACTACCAACACTACACGTAATGAACCACGCCACTCTCACATGACGACCTGATTCATACACTATAGCTAGTGCACGTGTAACTGCATAGTACTTAACCCGTACACAGAGATCAAGTACTGTACTCAACCATCTGTGTCTTGGCATAATGTGTAAAAGATTGGGAATGTTTGGTAAAACTAGGAAACCTTGAATAAAAATAAAGGTTATTCTTGTGAAGTTTGTATCAAACTCATGAGCATACAGTATGTGAATTTATGACTGATTCTCAAATATATATGAATCCGTGAATTGTAAATAAAATCTATCAAATAAACTGCAATGTACATGCTTCTGACAGCGATTTGATTAATGAAACAAACAGACGAATGGTCTAAAATCTAGAGCCATAATGATGGTACTGATTTTTTGTTATGATTACGGAGTGAGTGAGGTTACCTTAGCATAAGTTGGCATGAAAGCAGTACACACGTGACAATGAATTGCCACCAAACAAATCATCGTGACCTTCAAAACAAATTGAAGTAATTATAAGGGGGAAGACGACTTAAGTGTTCTTTCAGGTATGTATGATTCGAAAGCTTGAATTCGTGACTATGTTCAGATTTAAAAAAATCAATGCAAAATGTATCTGATGTAATTCAGTGCAATGAGTACTGATCATATAAAGTTTATATCCCTAACATCGACTACAACAAGGTATAAAACAGGTTCTTGAGATGTATTTAGAAGTTGGTATTCAAGTAACAGGCAAACATTATGGATGACAACTTCTTCTTGATTGTATGTCACAACGTTTCTGGGCTATTCCTTGCCCCTTCGTCAGGTGAAATGAAACAAACAAGATACATCAATGGGTATATATACTAAATATACAAAAAGCCGATGTTGCATGTATATACAATCCATTGGATAAGAAACAGGAGATGAAAGGGTGAGATGTACAGATAATGGGTATTGTTTACACAAGGGAAGAGTTTATACAAGTGATTAGCAGATGTTTGTTACAATTCACCTCACGAAGGTGCGAGGAATAGCCCAGAAACGTGTAACATACAATAAAGAAGTTGTCATCCATAATATTTGCCTTTTACAAGGTATAAAAGGGCAACAAAAACAAAGGCCCCCACCCCACCCAATGGATACTGACACACATTCTGCATGATTATAATTGTTACCAATCAAAGATAATATTAAATGACAAGTGCAATAAATATTGTATTTACCTGGAGAAGGTTAATAGGTGAATTGATATTTGTTATTCTTACAAATTCGGGCAAATACTTTATTAAAAGGTAATGTTATAGAATGAGTTGGTACTGATCGCCAGCACACTGTAAGCATAGATCGACAGTGTAATGTAAGAAGGATGGTCTTATTGTGATGTAATCTTGAATACACTACTGAGTATACAAACCACAAACATTGCATCTTCGGCAGGATGGTCAGGAACTGCCCCACTGTCTAAGCTATACAGTAATAACCACAAATATTCGTGACAGAAATAAGTATGTCGAATTGTGAGGAAGTTCAGTTTCCTTAAATTCAAAGAATACTTCGCAGTATGTCCGTGACATTATCCTGGTACACGGGGCACTTCATCAAAACAGGAAAATATGTATATAAGGATTGTAGATATGAACCAAATTCAACTGACGTGTTCAGACTAACATCACAAATGTCTCTCCTTCACAGCACGGTAAAAAACACCCGCAACACGCTGTTCTGACATAATGCATGAAATACATGTGTCTGTTAAAGACACAATTTATCATCCAAATTAAAAAGGAAATGTTACAAGCATTCCATACAAATATTGACTAGAAAGCAAGGGACATGATCATGTCGACGAAAGATCATTTGAGGTGACCCTTTAGCCTGTACACGAGTATGAACGTGGCATAAGGAAATTGATCATTAGACACACGTGTACATTTAAATCAATATCATATCCTTCATATTTCATAATGCCTCTTTAAATTTGTATTACTTAATCGATCAGTTACCTTATGATTAAATAAATACAGTATCCATTCATCTACAACGAGGAAGTAGAGGTAAAAAGCAATATCTATTTATCGTACCTCACGTTTGCCAATGTTTTCCTTGTCTTGAACGTACCATCCCAGGATCTGTTTCCAACATTCAATCTCTGGTGTAGAAATCGGTTCTCCTGATTGCGATTAGAAGCAGATCAGAGACATAAGCGGGTCCCATCAAGCACAACGTATAAAGGGACAACCACAGCCTGTCATATCTTATACGCTACGATTCAGTCTGACGTTAACCACTTAGCTGCCAGAGTATATTGAAACCAACCACTGAAATACCTTCTTTGCTATCGTCATGGTTATAACCGTATGTATTTACATGTTGGAAGGAGATATTCATAGGATATTCATCATTACCAAAGCTCAAAGAAAGTTTTTAAGCACGATTAAAAGGCTGTACTTGAAAGTTAAAGTGTTAATGGGTTAGCCAAGCGCGACTTCTTGGTGACCAAGGAAAGTAGGCCGACTTGACCTCGCCGTGTAAATAAACGCTAAAGGAAGAAACATCATGGTGTTAACAGTTCTTTAACGTAAAATCAGTCACATTGCTTGAAAGATTACCTGGGTGCCGTTCCCAGAACCGTCACAGTGATGTTTCATAACGTTGGCAAAAACAGTGATGATATGTACATGACTGTATATAACACGAAACCAGGAAATGTCCTCCGTGAAATGAAAATAACCTGTCATAGGGTAATACTTGTTATAACCAACAAGTTCAACTCTATACGCCCCTGGGTATAATGCTTGTATTTATACTGTTATCTACACGATCTGCTGAGGGGCTTTAACGCAAGCCCTGTGGCATACCAACAGCCGTTTGAGCGATATCGATTGAATAACCACATTTATTTTGCAGATGGTGAGTGAGTAATAAAAAATATATAAAACAAGAATGAAAAATAAGA